TGGAATTAACGAGAAACTTCCTAATAGTAAGAAGGGCTTGCCTCATGGGAGGCTTTCCAAAAGGAGACTGGACAGTTGTTTGTCTGAAATGATATAGGGTCTCCTGTTCAAGCAGTGGGTTGGACTAGAAGACCTCCAAGGTCCCTTCCAACTCTGTTATTCTATATTGTATTTCTTCCTTCCTTTCTTTGGCTTCCAATCTCCATCTGCCCTGACCTCTTTGATTGCTGGTGCCAAGGAAGGATTGTGGGGACCCCCGTGAGGATGACTGTAAATGGGGACAGGCTTGGGGGGAGGGGGCTACAGCAGGCCATCCTCCCAGGGGTCACCCCCACCTCCAAGGCACCGTTTGAAAGATTTGTGTTCATTTTAGTTCTTTAGCGTTGGCATCAAGGAGCGCAAGATATCGGGGTCATTCGGTGAGGCGGTTTCACCTAACGAATGTCTCGAGAAGTGATCGTAATTGGCGGGTTCCATTACGGTCATATCTCGAGGACTGCCTTGTTGAGCAGGGAACCTTTTCTCTAACAACACTGCACAGGTAGTCCTCATTCAGCAAGCACCATTGGGACGGGCACCTCAGTGGTGAAGTAAATCGGTCGCTAAGTGAAACCAACGTTTCACTTCAGCTTTCCTTTGCTTTCCAGACCTGAAAAGATCCACGGTAGGATGGTTACGACGTGTTACTATTTTCATCCTTGTCGTCGTTGTGGTTGCTAAGTGAGACGGTCGCTAAACGAGGACTGTTTATGTTCAACTGCATTATGCATGTGCAGAAGCAAAATCAAGCTGTAAGCTTGGCATCTCACTGCAGTTCTTGTTTTTGAAACACACACGTACACACAACACAAAAACACAGCCCCAAATCCACAACTCAGTAGCCAAACCCTCTGGAATTTTTACGTTCAACAACGATGTGCAATTGTGGAGTCCTTGTGGCAGATTTGCTTCTAAACTCTATGGCAAGGATTTCACTGGTAGAGCTTCGGCCTGGTTCATTTGTCCTCTATAAGACAGGATTTCGGGGGAGGGCGGAGCCGGCGTCGCGACGATACGGCATGCGATCTTGGAGGTCTGAGATCGCTGCTCATATCTTTGCTCCTGGACGGTCCTATCGGATCTAAACCGTCCCGAAGAGATGGTGAAAGTGAAGAGCGCGTCCTGTCGATCCCAGGGATACCGCAAAGTCCCTGGTAGATCCAGGAGAAGCTCTTCTTGCCAGCGGCAAAGAGGCAGCCATTTAAAGCCGCTGAAGTTGGGACAGCTCCGAAACGGAAGAGAGCAGAAAGAGAGAGTGTGGCGGTTTGGTGAGAACTTTTTTTTTTTACTCTAAGATCTGAAAGGACACCCTAAGGAAAAGAAAGAATCTGTAAAAGTTTTGACAGAAGCGATTAAGCGGCGATTTTAAACAGGAATGTCAAAGTAATGTTTGTTTGTTTTTTTTCTCATTGCTGGATTTTCTATATACGATCTTGTATTTTGAAACTGGACTGTTTTTTTTCGTTCATATCTTTTTTTTTTTTTCCTTTTTGATTTTGTAATATTTTAGGCTAGAGGCTCCCTTTAGTTAATTCATTTTTTTAAAATATCTTTTTTAAAAAATTAATTCTCATTATATCCTGCTCGGAAAAGGTGGGGGAAAGTGAGAGCAAAGAAACACTGGCAACTAGAGGCTTGAAAATATTCTTTTCCCTGTGACCCTGAGAAAGGAAGACAGGATTTGGGGAACAATGGCCCTTTTATGACTTGTGGACTTCAACTCCCAGAATTCCTGAGCCAGCCTTGCTGGCTCAGGAATTCTGGGAGTTGAAGTCCAAAATGGCTGCCCACCTGTTCTCTAGGGATGATAAAATGCAAAGAGAAGTAGAAGGGGCATTTGAATTGTTATCCAACCGGAGCTGAGACCAACGATTTTTTTTTCTTTCCTTTTGATTTCAAGCAAGGTTGTACGGGCAGCATGTCTGGTTGTATTTGTTAACCGTGGCAGCTTTAAGACAGGTGGACTTCAACTCCCAGAATTCCCTAGCCAGGATGGCGTTGAAGTCCACTCATCTTAATGCTGCAAAACTTAACAAGCCCTGCTATACAGCAAAACTTCATCTCTAATTCTAATCTAATCTCTTAATGAAAAAAACAAAAAAAACACAAGCTGGCCTTTTTCCTTAAAATTTCCAGCAAGCGGTCCTCAGAATTTGACCCCTGGCACCACCCAAGCTCACTCAACCCTACAAACAAACCTCGCCCATCCTAAATTTCAGGGCTTCACAACATCCTTGTTTTACGATCTTTGCTTCCTTGCGCACCGATTCCAGATTTTAAAACACACCGTTTAAAAAAAACGTATCTGGAAGAATTTCATTTTGAAGCCAGCATAGAATCAAGGAACCGAGTCCTTGGGCCACAAAATCAGGGGGTGTCCACAAGGGGGGAGCCTCTCCCCCCCTCAAAACAAGACAAGATGGCAGCCATGAGGCACATTCTAAACAAAAGCAGAGCTCCTTTCACGATACAGGGAGTCCTCAGTATTGGGTCACAATTCAGCCTATCGTTTATGCTGCTAAGTGAGGCGTTTGTTAAGTGAGTTTTGTCCCATTTTACAACCTCTCTTGTTGCGGTTGTTAAGTGAATCACTGCAAATGGTTAATAACACAGTTAAGTGAGCGCAGTTTCCACCTAGACCGCTTGTGAGAAGGTCACAAAAGGGGATCACGTGACCCCAGGACATGGCGACCGTCATAAACTTGAGTCAGTCGTCCAGCAACCGAATGTAAATCACATGACCAACAGGGGTGCTGCAATGGTCGTAAGGGTGAGAAACAGCCCTAAGTCACTTTTTACAGTGCTGCTGTAACTTCAGACGGTCACTAAATGGACTGTCGTAAGTTAAGGGCTACCTGTATTAGGGCTGCCATCTTGATTTTTGTGAAAAACAGACATAGAATGAAAGGAACTCTGGACAATATTCAATTCTTTCTGTTCAGTGCAGGAAGAAATTCTGTTTTTACTTTTTAGCACAAATTACTATAATTCATCGGCTGTCTCAGGAAAGGCTAAGGTGTTGCATAATTTCACTGGAAATCTTATTTGAAACCTTTGTGCCCTTATCCAGAAGTTAAGCCACTGAGACTCGTTCTCAAATGCATGCTAAAATTATGGAAGACTACAATTGCATTTTTTTTTTGCCTAGCTACTAAAAGTTTTCCTGGCTTTGGGCGTTTCATCCCAGCCGTTTCAATTTTAAGACGATTAAACCGTTAAACGGTTAAAGAGTGATGAAAAGTTAAGAATTTAAACTAACTTGCTCATTTGCCTAATGTAACATCTTGGCAGAGTTGCTTTCCCACACTCTAAAATTTCAGCAGATACAATGACCTGCTTTCAGACTCCCAGACCTCCCAAACAGGTAGTCCTTGACTTACGACCACAATTGAGCCCAACATTTCTGTTGCTTAGCGAGACAGCTGTTAAGTGAATTTTGCCTCATTTTACGACCGTTCTTGACACAGTTAAATGAATCACACAGTTTGTGAAGCAAATCTGGATTCCTCATCGACTTGACTTGTCAGAAGGGGGCAAAAGGAGATCATGTGACCCCCGGGACACTGCAATACTCGTCATAAATACGAGTCAATTGCCCAGCCCCTTAATTTTGATCACATGACTATGGGGAGGCTGCAACAGTCGTAAGTGTGAAAAAAACTCATTTTTTTCCAGTGCTGTTATTAACTCCGGTCATTAAATGAGCAGGTATAAGTTGAGGACTACCTGTAACTTTGTCCTTTGTCTGTGTTAAAAAAAAAAAAAATACTACATTTGTATCCCACTGCTTTTCTGCCCAAGCCGGGAAGCTGAGGAGAGGCAAAAAAGTCGAGATGGCAGCCCTGTTCTTTTTCTGCACATGTTACAAAACACATTAAAAAGAGATGTGGCTTCAATTATGCAGATGTGACACTCCCCCCCAACTTACCCATTTGACACACACAGACACACACACACACACACACACACACACTGGTATAGAACTCAAATGCTACATAGTTTCCCCCACTTTACCAAAACAACAACCCTGCAGGTAGTCTGTGATCAGAGAGACCAACTGGCCTAAGATTCTCCAGTAAGGAAGCATCGGGACTCATTTCTTTTTTCTTTTTTTGCCATTAGATGCAGTGGAAATAAACAGCTGACCACTAGGGGTCACACCCGGGGTGGGATTCAAATTTTTTAACAACCGATTCTGTGGGCATGGCTTAGTTGGTGGACATGGCTTGGTGGTCATGTTATTGGCTGGGCGTGGCCAAATCAACATCACTCACATTGAGGCACGCATCTCCTCGCCTGGCCTCATGACTGTGGGGATGCCGCAATAGTTGTAAGTGTGAAAAATGGTCGTAAGTCACTTTTTTCAGTGCCATGGTAACTTTGAATGGTCACTCCACACAAGCAAAGTACCAGCAAAGGAGGGGGAAAAAAACTCCGGAGACGTTCCTGAGACAGGAAGTCTAGTCCTGCCAAGAATGTAAAAAGGGTTAACGGAGAGGCAGTTTCTGTAAGCAACACCAGAATGTTTCCTTCCTGCCTTCCTTACAGGATTAGGCCAGTAAAAATTTCTTCTAACAACCGGTTCTCCAAACTGCTTAGAATGTTAACAACTGGTTCTAGCGAATAGGTGCGAACTGGTAGAATCCCACCCCCTGACCCACCCTAGACCTTTCATCTCTCTACTCTACCCCCTCGCAATGACCCTGTAGCCTTTAACATTGTGAGAAATTCATCCGGGAGAGCTTTGGCCGCCGTGAACATGGAAAAGTTGGAAGGTGCCAAGGATTTCCTGCCTGCTGTGAAGCAATTCAAAGGCATTTGGGTTCCAGTTGCTCCACTCCCTCCCTGGCTCACCGTTGGACTGGATAGTTGGTGTGACCTTGATGTCCTACTTCCCCCAAGGAAACGTCCCAGCCTGCCCACCCCACCCCAGGTCCGAGTTTGCAACCCGTCGCCTCGTCTCATCTGCTTTGCTCCTGGAGCCTTTGCATCTTCAAAATCTGGAAGAGGATTCTTTGGACGTCTTCATCCATGTGGCCCTGTGAGGAGCAGAGATGGGGGAAAAGAAATAAGATGAGATCATGAACATCTGGAGGTGTTCCTCAGTTTTGGCTGGTAGGAGGACTTCTGCCTTTGTCCCTGCAAGAGGACAGAGCCAAATACGTAATCTCACTTTTCAAGGAGATCGTTTTCGCTCGAGGGAATCACTACAAGAACCACAGCCAGGATTTCTCTGATAAAGGAGAATATTTGTAGCTCAGGGTTGACATAACAGAGTTGGAAGGGACCTTGTAGGTCATCTAATCCAACCCCCCCTCCGCCCAAGCGGGAGACCCTACACCATTTCTGACAGATGGCAGTCCAATCTCTTCTTGAAAGCCTCCAGTGAAGGCGCTCCCACAACTTCTGAGGGCGACTTCTGTTCCACGGGTGGACGGTTCTCCCTGTCAGATGAATCGCATGAGGGGTCCTTGGTGGTCTCCGAGTCTTTGTGGTTTTCTTGCAGATGTTTCATAACCCGACTAGGTGCCAATCACGGGACTAGTCGCGCCGCTGCCACTGATAATGTTACCTAGTTGGGTCGTGAAATGTCTGCAAGAAGACCACCAAGCCTCGGAAAGCACCAAGGATTATCTTGACCCATCTAGCCTTTCAGAAAATCCTGGTTTTGCATCAGCCATGGGGATCTGGTAGCAAGAAGGCTGTGAGATGGCTGGACGTTTCGTAACTTACAGGTTAGCACTTCCCATGTTTTTTTCTGATTATTTTAACACAGGGGTTCCCAACCTGGGGTGCTCATACCCCCTGGGAGTGTGAGACGATATTCTAGGGGGTGAGAGAAAAGTCCAGGTAAATAATAGGATACTAGCTATATGTTGGCATTTTTATTTATTATGCAATGGATTAACTTTGTTTTCATTTTAGAGTTAAGTATCATTATTTAGTGGCCCTCACATACATAGCTGAAAAGATTCAATCCTACCCTATATTTAACGCGTTCAGTAGTTCCTAAAGTCTAAATTTCAGGGGGTGCGAGGTTCGAGTGAAATTTCTTTAGGGGTGCGGGGCGAAAAAAAGGTTGGCAACCACTGTTTTAACAGATCGAGAGAGTTGGAAGGGACCTTGTAGGTCATCTAGTCCAACACACACACACACCCACGCTAACTGATTTTAACTTCTTTTCAACCATTTTTGTAATGGTTGTTTTTGCAGGCTGGGGAATTTTGGCAAAGTTGCCAAGGTTGAGAAACGTGGTTCTAAAGGATGATAGGGAATACATTTCTTTTTTTTTTCCTTTCCATACTTTTACTCTGGCTGGAAAGATAAGAATTTGGTCCAGGAAAGACTTTAGAACTCGGTGGGGAATTGAGCCTGGAATACGCTTATCTCGTTCAGAGGTTCTGGATGCTGACCAATTAGACATCAGCCTGCATAGTTTGTTCCTCAAACTCTATGGAAGAGTCCACATAAATGAAAATACTGCCATCCAGGTAGTCCTTGACTTACAACAGTTCATGTAGTGACGGTTTGAAGTTACAACGGCAGTGCAAAAAGTGACACGGACAGTTTTACACATTTATGACCCTGGCCGCATTCCCTGTGGTCAGGCGATTTACACTCAGGTGCTTGACAACTGACTCACATTTATGACGGTTGCAGCATCCCAGGGTTACAGGGATCCCCCCTTTTGTGACCTTCTGACAAGCAAAGGCAACGGGAGAGCCAGATTCCGCTTCACAACCGCGTTACTCGCTTAACAACCGCACGTGATTCAGTGAAGAAATACGGTGAGAAAAGGTGGCCAAACTCACTCGATACGTACATTTTGGGCTCAAATGCGGTCGTAGCTTGAGGACGACCTTTATGTTCAAGCGTGAAGAGCGTCTCGTTCCCGGTGCAAAGTTTAATTGCTTGAACAAGACTTTTAAGCTAACTTGGACATGTTAGTTTTTAAGGGATAGGCAGCTATTCCCACTCCAAAGCTGCCAAAAGCAGCTTTGGGTGTACGTGTCTGCACGTATCCACATAAACACACATAAATAGGAGGCAGGACGAGAAACCATGGTTGGAAACTAACCAAGGAGAGAAACAACCTGGAATTCAGGAAAAACTTCCTAACATTGAGGACAAATAACCAGCAGAACAGCTTCCCTTCAAAAGTCATGGGTACTCATCCCTGGAGGTTTTGAAGAAGATAATCTAGATAATCACTTTATCTGAAACGATTCTCCCTTCCAGCTCATTCTATTTTAGATCTTCAGGCAACCCCCGTGCACTCTCTCGCGTTCACATTCAAACCCACCATCCGTGTCCCCACACTCAGATGGCAGTTCGGTCTTCTAGCCCCCTCCCGCCTCCTCTCAACTGTCCCCAAAAACATATCCCAGATTCTTCATTGCTCACCCACACTATGAAACGCAGTATTTCTAACTCGGTGTCAGGAAGGAAGACCTGGGCCAACCCACCTGGATAGCGTAGAGAAGGTGTCCTCTGTACAAAGAGATGATATTGCTATGCCGTCGCTCAGATTCCTAGTGCAAAAAAAGAGAACGAAAAGAAATTATAAGTCGTTTCAAATAGAATAAAGTAAACCGAAGTGGCTCAGCTAAGACTATTTCGGGCGGGTTGTGGGGGAGTTCACTGCGGTCACAAGCCTCTCCAAATTTTTTCCCTGCCTGAGGAGAGCTTGGCTGTTTACGGCCCTCACTCTGAGTTTACCAGGTGAGTTTATTTGGTTTATTTTTTACGGGATTCCCAATGAGCTATTTTCGATCCTATTAAAATTCTGGGGGTTAATTTTAAAAAATTTTTTACAGAACATTGTTGTTGTTTTTTTTCAGAGAGGTTTAGCTAACCACCACAGCTTCGAGAGTTGGTTCCATCTCATGCAAACCTCACCTTTTATTCAGGTGAGGTATAGTCATGGCCAAGAGGTTTTTCATTGCTTGGTTGGTTGATTACTATACGTGCCATTAAGTTGTTAAAAGAGCTGTGTTCTAGACATGAAATGCAGGTCATCTCTATCTCATCTGGAAGTGGGATTTTAACAGAATCACACAGTTGGAAGGGACTTTGAGGTCTTCTAGTTCTTCCTGCTACTCACACATGAGGCTTTATACCATTTCAGAAAAATGGCTGTCTAATTTCTTCTTAAAAACCCCCACCCCAGTGATGGAGCACTCACAACTTGAGGCAAATCGTCCCCCTAATTAATTGTCCTCAAGAAATTTCTCCTTAGTTCTCGGTTGCTTCTCTCCTTGGTTAGTTTCCATCCATTGTTCCTTGTCCTGCCTTCCGGGGCTTTGGAAAATAGCTTGACTCCTTCTTCTTTGGGGCAGCCCCTGAGATATTGGAACGCTGCAATCTTGTCACACACACACACACACACACACCCCAAGTCCTTCTTTTCTCTAGACTAGACCCAATTTCTGTAGCTGTCCTTCCTATGTTTTAGCCTCCGGCCCTTTAATCGTCATCCTAGAAAGAATGCTATTCTCTGTGTTCCGGACTAGCCGGCTCGAAAGCCTGCAACTCTGATTGGGCCGCGAATAGCCGATCGTGATTGGTCGCCATAGACTGATGCGACTGGCCAGTAAACGGGCTGCCGCGAGCGGCAAACTCAAATCGCCTTCGTTGACTGCCTAGCCGCAGCCCAGCCCTTATACAAGGGGCTGCTGCGGCTGGGATAGTTTGCTCAGATCTGAAGTCACAAATAAAGAGCTGTCGTTGCTATCTGAGTCTTGCCTCCGTTCTTGAACCGTCCTCCCAGATCTAACACTGGCGACGAGGATGGGATGCGGAGGCAACGAAGTCTATTGATTTGAGCTAGCTGAAGGAGCACGTGGCTGACAGAGCGCAACGACGGTGACATGGCCAGCAGCGCTATACCACCCGCCCCATTCGATCCAGCTAGCGAGGACTGGGACTCATATATGGACAGATTTCAAATGTTCCTGGAGTCCAACAACCTCAAAGATGCCACGCCCAGCAAGAAACGAGACGTTTTTCTAACCCATTGTGGACCAGCCAGATCTAACACTCTGCATTCTTTCTAGGGTCTTAACCTCTTTTTTTTTTTGTATCATGGTGGACCAAAACGGGATGTAAGCACCATAGTGGGGCCATGGTTAGAATGCGGTATTGCAGGCTGACTCTGCTCACTGCCAGCAGTTTGATCCTGACCGGTTCAATGTTGACTCTGCTTTCCATCCTTTCAAGGTCAGTAAAATGAGGAGCCAGATTGTTGGCAGACAATATGCCAACTCTGTAAACCGCTTAGGGCTGCAAAGCACTGTGAAGTGCTATATAAGTCTAAGTATTCTTCCCCATGTGGTCTTACTCCTGGTTCGTTTTCCGAGGAACACCTGACCGATCTCAAATGGAAGGAACCAGACAATTTGAGTTTGACGGACCTCCTAAAACAACTCTCCTTAATTCCTCTCACCTTCCTTTGTATGCTACTCACAATCAGCTGCTGCTCCAGATCTTTAATGGTCCTCTGGAAGGCAGCTACGTCCATCTCGCTCTCTACCTTTGGTAAAAAGATCCCTTTAGAGGAAGCGCCACTAGACAGCTCGGAGAGATCCTTCAGAGCTTCTTTCAGTTTGAAGACCTCCTTGGAGAGATCTGTGATCTGCCAAGGAAGGAAGGGGGTGAAAAATGACAAAGGCGGTAAGCAACACATCTGGATTCTTCTACTTGACGCCCAGTTAATCGGCATAGGTCACAGTAGGCAAAGCTCCAGAAGGAGTGAGAAAGATTAAATCAAAGGAATTAAGGCCTGAGATAAGAAAACGAGGTGGAATTTCAGCTAATTTCAGTTCATACCAAGAGGCAATTTCCGTTTACATCAGGCTATCCAAACTTGGCCATTTTAAGACCTGTGGACTTCAATTCCCAGAATTCCCTAGATAGCCTATACTATAGACAATTTATTTATTTTTATTTATTTATTTGATTTGTCAATTGTTTACAAGATAATAAGTATAAGTGTATGCATAGTTATGAATACATGAAATGGGTACATGTAAGAAAAATAAAAGAAAAATAACAGAAACAATAGGACAAGGACAGTAGGCACATTGGTGCGCTTATGCACTCCCCCTACAGACCTCTTAGGAAAGGGGTGAGGTCAATAGTAGACAGTCTAAGGTTAAAGTTTTTGGGGTTTGGGGAAGAAACCACAGAGTCAGGTAGAGGATTCCAGACATTGACCACTCTGTTGCTGAAGGAGTATTTCCTGCAATCAAGTTTGGTGCGGTTAACCTTGAGTTTGTATGTATTGTGTGCTCTTGTGTTGTTATGGCTGAAGCTGAAGTATTCATTGACAGGTAAGTCATTGCAATGTATGATTTTATATACTATACTTAGATCGGACTGAAGGCGGCATAATTCAAGGTTTTCTAGGTCTAGAATTTCGAGTCTGGTGGCATAAGGTATTCTGCAACGAGTAGAGGAGTGGAGAACTCTTCTTGTGAAATATTTCTGGACTTTCTCAACTGTGCTAATATCAGATACGTAATGTGGGTTCCAGACTGATGAGCTGTATTCAAGTATTGGTCTAGCAAATATTTTGTATGCTCTAGTTAGTAGTGTGATATTACCAGAGAAAAAGCTACGTAGGATTAGGTTAACAACTCTTAACACCTTTTTGGCTATGTAGTTGCAGTGGGCTCTAGCACTCAGATCATTAGAGGTGAGTTCTCCAAGGTCCTTTACAGAGCTTGGATCATCAACAAGATCTTGATTCCTGCAACCATTCTTTCTATGTTTTAGTCTCCAGTCCCCTCCAGTCCCCCCTAATCATCTTTCTTTTCACTGCACTCTTTCTAGAGTCTCAACATCTTATTGTGACCCAAACTGGATGCAATAGAGTAATTTTTCGGACGAACCAAACGGGACTCACCTTCTTGTCTTTCTCTTTAACTAGCTTGGCAGAGTCCTCGATGTGGCTGTGCAGCTCCTGGAGACGTTCGGACTCTGCCCGCAGGCTCTGCAGCTGCTTTTCGGCGGCGGCTAACTGCGCCTCAGCCGCGTGCTTCTCACTCTTCATGAAGAGGGCCTCCCGCTGCACCTGGAAGACTTCCGTGCAGGTCCGTTCATGCTTGCTGCCCAGGTCACTCAGCTTCGCCTTCAGGGCCTCGATTTCGGCTTGCAAGGTGGCCCTCAGCTCCTCTTGGGCCTCCGTGGAGACGGCACCTCGACAGACCTCGTCCAGCTGGGCCCGGAGATGGGATGCCTCGTGGGCTTTGGCTTTCAGCTCCTGCTCCAACCGCTTTGTTTTGGCCTTCAACTCCCACAAGGTGCCTTCCAAGGCCTCCTTGGCCCGGGCATGCTCGGCTAGGGGCACCGACTCTCGCCTGTACGTCTCGGTGGTCTTCTGAAGTTCTGCCAGCTCCGTCTGGGTGGAGGTGTACTTCTCTTTCATCTCCAGTAGCTTCTTCTCAGCCTCGGAGAGGGCGCCCTTCGACTTCTCCACTACATCTTCGTGGTCCGCTCTGAGGACGAACTGAGAAGCCAGCCTCTCCTTAGTCTCTTGAAGCTCCTCTTCCAGCTTCTTCCGGCCTTCTCGGAGCTCCTCGACATGAGCCTTCACTTCTTCGTGTTGCTCCGTCATGGCCTTCAGCTGCTCTCGCAACTTGGCAGCCTCGTCCTCAAGAGCCTGGCTGACCGAAGACCTTCCTTCAAGCACCTTGTGTCTCTCCTCCTCCAAGGAGGCCCTCAGTTCTCGTAGTTCTGTTTCCACAGAGGTGCATCTCTTAAGAAGGACCTCTTTCTCCTGGGTCATTGCATCTAAGGAGGCACCCAGGGTGGCTTTCACCTCCTCGTATGCCTCCACGGAGCGGTTTTGGGCCTCTCTTTCTTCTTGGACCCTCAGCAGCCCCTCCATATCCTTCATCTTCCAATCTCGCTCCTTCAGCTCCTCCCGAGTCTGGTGGAGAGCAGCCTTCACTGTCTCGAGTTCAATTCTGGACCTCTCCTCCGCTTCTTTCTCCTCCACGGACAAGATGCCCAGCTCGATCTGATCTTCAAGGATCTTGACTTCAGCCAAAGCTGCCTGATATTTCTCCTGGGTCTCTTTCAGCTCGTTCGTCAGCTGCTCCATCGCTTCTCGGGTTACCGGGTCGAATTTGCCTTTCCCTTCCGGTTCCGAGTCTGCTTTCTTTTCCATCGCTCGGTTCTCTCCGATCTGATCATCCGGAGGGCTGATCTTCTCCAAAGCTTCTTTAAGGGCCGCGATTTGCTTCTCGTAATCGTCCTTCAGCTGCTCATAAGCTTCTGCTGAAATGAGCTTACGGGGGCTTCCATCTGTTCCGTTGCTTTCCAGGGACTTCAGAAGCTCCTGGGCCTCCAGTTGCTGTCCTTTCAGCTTCTCGAACTCGGATCTGAGCGAGTCATACAAAATGACAGGGATGAAATCCCCGGAAGTGTCAGCCTCGCTCTGCTCCTTCTCATCCTTCTCCAGAACCTGCACAAAACAAAAACAAAAAAATTGATTTATGGGATACATACAGAGAGAAAGAAAGAAAAAAAAACAACCACAAATGTGTTCAGGAGAGAGTTTAATGCAAACGTGGCCACTTTTAAGACTTGTGGACTTCAACTCCCAGAATTCCTCAGCCAGCATAGCGTAGCTGGTTGAGGAATTCTGGGAGTTGAAGTCCACAAGTCTTAAAGTGGCCAAGTTTGGAGACCTCTGGTTTTTATGCATAGCCTTGGTGACTTTCCTTGGCTTTTGACCGATACTTTTCGTTCTTCTGTTGCGTTTTGCCTTCCATGGCTGACCCCATTTACAATAACAACGAAATATAACTATTGTTGTTCCTCGACTTAATGACCTCAATTGAGCCGCAAATTTCCGTAGCTACAGCGAGACTGTTGTTAAGTGAGTTTTGCCCCATTTTAGGACCTCTCCTGCCACAGTTGTTAAGTGAATCAGTAATTCTTAAGTGAATTTGGCTTCAGCAGAAGGTCGCAAAGATGACATCACTTCCAGGACCCTGAAACTGTCATAAGTACAAGTCAGTTGCCAATTGTTTGAATTTGGATCACCTGACCAGGGAGAGTCTGCCAAGGGTCGTTACGTGTGAAAAACAGTCGTAAGACACTTTTTCCAGTGCCATCATACTTTTGAAATGATCACTAAATGTACTGTTCTAGGTCAAGGACTCCCTGTACTTTAGAGTTAGTAAACTCAAGTAATGCAAGTAGTCCTCGACTTACAATCCCAATTGAGCCCAAAATTTCTGTCGCTAAGTGAAAGAGTTGTTAAGTGAGTTGTGCCCTATGTTATGACCTTTCAGGCCACCATCGTGAAGTGAATCGCTGCAGTTCTTAAGTTAGTTACCCGGTTGTTAAGTGAATCTGGCTTCCCCGTGGACTTCGCTTGATCTCATGACCCCGGGATATTGCAACCGTCATAACTATGAGCCATTGCCAAGCACCTGAATTCTGATCACATGACCATGGAGACGCCGCGATGGAAAACAGTCTCATGTCCCTATTTTTCAGTGCCGTTGTAACTTTGAACGGTCACTAAATGAACTGTTGACTTCCTGTATTTCTCCACGGCAGGTGAGTGAATGCCCAGGTGGTCAAAGCTAGGATTTACCTGTATTTTTTCCATTAATTTTTTGTTCTTCTGGGTTAGGGACTCGATCTGGCCCTGCAGGGTCGCTAGGAGTTCTTCCGTGGAGGCATTTAAAGATTTTTTGGAGAGAAGCTCAGCAGTTGCTAGAAAGAAAAGAAGAAGAAGAAGAAGAAGAAATGAAAAAGAAAGTGAAAACGTGCAAAAAAAATAAATAGATTAAACCTGGTGGTGAAGGGAAAAGCCCCCGCCCCAGGCTAAAGTTACAAAAATGCAGGTAGTCCTCGACTTACAACCCCCATGGAGCCCAACATGTTTTCTGTTGCTAAGTCACACGTTTGTTCACTGAGTTTCGCCCTGTTTTGCCACCTTTCTTGCCACGGTCGTTAAGCGAAACATTGCAGTTGATAAAGTTAGTGAGCCAGTTGTTAAGCAAATCCGGCTTCCCCATGAAATTTGCTGGTCCGAGGGTCCCAAAAGGGGATCACATGACTCCAGGACCTTGCAACCGTCATAAATATGAGTCTGAACTTTAATTATGTGACTACAGGAATGCCACAACAATCATAAAAGTGTGGAAAACGGTCATAAGTCCCTGGTGTTAGTGCCATTGTAACTTTGAATGGTTGCTTAATGAACCGTTGTAAGTCGAGGACTACCTGTGTTCTCCTCAGATAAGCCCTCGAGATGGCCAATAGCGGTGGCAGTCACTAATACAGGTAGTCCTCATCTTATGACCACAATTGGGGGCCTGAATTTCCATTACCAAGCGAGCTGGCTGTTAACTGAATCGCACCTGATTTCCTGACTTTTTTTGCTATGGTTCTTAAGTTAATCACTGCAGTTGTTCAGTGAATTTCAAGGTCGTTAAGTGAATCTAGCATCCTCCATGGACGTTGCTGGTCAGAAGCTGGCCGGGATGGCCAAAAAATGGAGATCACACGACCCCAGAATCTTGCAACCACTATAAATACATACTGATGTTCAAGTGCCTGCATTTTGTGTGACATTGCAATAATTGTGAGTGTGAGAATCGTTCGTACGAAGTCGCTTTTTCTTCAATGCTGTTGAAATTTCAAACGGTCACTAAATGAATGGATGAAAGTCAAGGACGACCTGTATTTAGAGGGGATCTCACCTATAGTTTTGTCAAGTTCTGAACATATTACACAGGTAGTCCCGGACTTACGACCACAATCGAGCCAAAAAAAAAATGTATCTTGCTAAGTAACAATAAGTAACTAATATTTGTTAAGTGCAATTTAACCCGTTTTATGACCTTTCTTGCCCCGTTGTTCAGTGAACCGCTGCCGTTGTTAAATTTGTCACATGGTTGTTAAGTGAACCTGACTTTTCCCGTTGACTTCGCTTGTCAGTAGGTTGCAAAAGGGGATCACGTGCCCCCCCCGGGATGCTGCAAACCGTCATAAATATGAGCCGGTTTCCAAGCGTCTGTATTTTGTTCGCATGACCATGGGGATGCCGCCATGGTTGTGTGAAAAACGGTCATAGGTCCCTTTTTTTTTTTTCCCTTGGAACTTCAAATGGTCACTGAATGAACTGTTGTCATGAAGCCGAGGACTACCTGCCGACAGATTTAAGACCCAGCCTTACCTGGGAACTCCAGCAGTTCTCCCTCTTCGTCCTGCAGGGTTTCAACATCGTAACTGGTATTTTCCTTCTCGTACTGCACAAAGAGAAGACGAGATGGAGGATTTCCCCCACAGTGGGAATCTACGACAAGTTCTACGGAGAAGAAGAGGAGCCAACGGACGCCCTTCGGCTCAAGGAAAAGTCAACTATTTTGAAAAATGACTTCATGCAAACGCCGGGAGGTACATTTGTCCCTCTTGGATACCGTCCAGGTGTGAGGGAGGGAGGGTAGGTCCTAGGTGCTCTCTGAGTTTAGTTGTTTCCTTGCGGACGTTTCGTTATCCAACTAGGTAACATCGTCAGGGCTTGACCAGAGTGGGATTTGGGGAGTGGAGGAGAAGGAGAAAGACTGGGATCCTTGTGCTTTGTTTTCTTGCAGGCGTTTCATTACCAAACTAGTTAACATCATCAGTGCACAGGGAAAACGCCTGCAAGGAAGCAGCCAAGCGCACAGAACAGCAAGGACCCCTCACAGTTTTACCTGAGCTACAAATATTCTCCTCCTCCTCCTCCTCCTCCTGTCCCCCTTCTAGCACTGATGGTGATATCTAGTCGGGTCATCAAACATCAGGAAAAGAGCCGAGCTGAGAATTCACCAAGGACAGTTCAATCCTGAGCTATAAATATACTTTTCCATCCGGAGGGGTTGTATCTCAAAGGAGAAAGAGACAACTCAGCTCAGATAGTTTATGTAAGGAGAAAGAAGGTGGAAGGAGCTCCTCCCTAACAGTTCCCACATTTTATCTTTTAAATCATTCTTAAATTTGTTTGCCATCCATCTCGCAGCAAGGCGACACGGGGCAATGCTTTAATGGCAGGGGTCACCAACCACCGGTCCGGGGAACAATTTCTACCGGGCCGCCGGTTTGCTGGGCGCCGCCATCTTGTTTTGATGAAAAAGTGCTTCCGGTGAGCTTTTCCGGGTAGAAAGCGGCGTTTGGGTGCTGAAAGAATCCTCGCGCCTTAGTTTCATCGAGGGGGGGGGGCTTCGAATGAAACTAAGGCGCGAGGATTCTTTCAGCATGGATGGCAAGGCGAGCCGAGCGACCGTCGTGAAGCCGTCGCGAAGCCCATCGACACAGATACAAAGGAGGAGTTGAAGGTGGCGGGGAGAAACGGGGGACGGCTGGCTGGCCGGTCGCTCGGCTCGCCTTGCCATGCGTGCTGATGCTGGTACCGGGCCGCGGATGATTTTGTGATGCTGGTACCGGGCCGCGGCACAAAAACGGTTGGGGACCACTGCTTTAGGAGGTTGTTAATCCTGCTATTGTTTGGCAAGATTCTGTCTACGGGCGAGGAACGATAAGGAAACCTTGAAAGAATCACAAAATGTCTTTCTTGGATTTTGTAGCCTGACGCCCCGGCCTTAATTGGACCATCAAGGGGCTGGGCAGCTCCATCTGAGCAAGACACTATCCCTCAAGGTCATCTTAAAGGAATGACGTGACCTTCAGTATCCTCCTTTGGTACCTCACATAATGAAAGCCGGCTTCGGAGCACCTCCAGTTCCTTCTTAAGGTTTTCCTTCTCGTTTGCCGTCTCCGCCAGTTGGTTTTGAAGATCTTTTAGCTGGTTGGACAACAACAACAACAATAAAAACCTCAAAGATTTTATTCTGATTGTGACGCTTTCCTACTTGGGTATCTGATAACTTCTTTTGAACCGAACTGAAAGTCCTAGATGTGGAGTCCCTGGTGTACTTTAGGCTAGTTGAGGTGAACTGAACTGAGATAGGCTTTGGAGTTGGTTGTCGGAAACCAGGAAAGTGGGTCTTTTGAGTCTGCAGTAGGAAAGAGGCTTCAGGTCAACATATTCCCAAACATATTCTCAACTTGCTTCTGTGAATTATGCAAGTCACCACAGGCCCAAAGATGGCTTATGGTTTTGAGCATTTGAGGTCATTTATAGCCATTAAGTCAGCCTGTCTGTCTTTCTCATTCTCTCTCCCACCGCCTTTCTCTCTTTCTTCTTACCTACCGGCCTGCCTGCCTGCATTTTGGTTGTAAGTCGAGGACTACCTGTATTAAATATGCCATGATTTAAGAATCTCTTTAAGAAGAGATTGGATAACCATTTGTCTGAAATGGTATACAGTAATTTCCTGCCTAAGCAGGAAACTTTATTATCTACTCTATTCTTATTCTAGTCTACTCTTATTCTTTTCTTCTCCTATTCTATTCTATCCTTATTCTAATTCTTATTCTATTTTCTGTTCTATTCTATCCTTATTCTGATTCTGATTCTATTTTCTGTTCTATTCTATCCTTATTCTGATTCTTATTCTATTTTCTGTTCCATTCTATCCTTATTCTACTCTGTTGTCTACTCTATTCTATCTTTTTTCTATTCTTATTCTATTTTTTATTCTATTCATACCCGTGCAATTAGCAATCCACCATTAGGCAGGCTCTATGCGTCACTGGGGTGATGTTGTAATGTGTGACATCATTACGAGTTCAACCACCTGTCTGACATCTTTGTGTTCTTCTGTTCCAGAATAACACTCACCTGTTTCTCCAGTATAGGCAAGGAACCATTCTGAATCTTCAGATGCTACCAGAGGCAAAAGAGAGAGAGAGAGAGAGAGAGAGAGAGAGGGAGGGAGGGAGGGAGGGAGGGAGGGAGAGAGAGAGAGAGAAAAAGAGAGAGAGAGAGAGAGAGAAGAAGGAGAAGGAGAAGGAGAAGGGGAAGGGGAGGAGGAGGAGGAGGAGGAGGAGGAGGAGGAGGAGGAGGAGGAGGAGGAGAAGGAGAAGGAGAAGAAGAAGAAGAAGAAGAAGAAGAAGAAGAAGAAGAAGAGGAGGAGGAGGAGGAGGAGGAGGAGGAGGAGGAGGAGGAGGAGGA